CGGGCCCAGGGTAAAGTGTCTTTTAAAGCTCTCTCACCTAAAATGATGGCAAATGCGGGAGGGGTGGTGTTCCTCTGGTGATGCCCATGGTCCCATCCCGCTGGGTGGTGGATCCCAGTGCTCTCTGGCTGTCAAAGCCGGCACCAGCAAAAGTGTGGCCAGAGCATTCAGGTGAGAACCAGGGGTTCCTGGAGATCCAGACCCTGATGCATCCACTGCCCAAACCAAGCAGAGCAGGGCTGCACATACCCTCCCGGTGTGGTTGTCACCCCCGCCCCAGCATTGCCTGTGCTTGTCCCCAAGCACTGAGCCCACCAGCATCTCCTCAAAGCCCCATCAGGTGCCTCCAGAACAGCCCCAAAAGGCAGCGTGGGGTCATAAAGCATTGCCACCAGTGCTCGCTGCTTCAAGGGGGTTTAATGGGGAAGAAGGGAATTTTAGGCTCACGCCATAGCCCCATCCTAAGAGCTGTGGGAAAAGGAGCTGGAGGTTCCCAGCCTCACTGGAGGGCAATGGGGCACCTCCATATAAAACAGAGCTGGGCTCTCTTTTATATTTAATCAGTGTAATTATATCACTCTGGTGCCCCATGGGGATGGGGTTATGGGGCCTTGTAGTGCTCCTGCCCTGTGCTGTCAGGCAGGAGGTGAAGTGAGAGCTCCAGGGGCGAGGAGGAGGTTTAGAATTAATCGGTGTGTGCAGGGAACGAAAGGTCAGCGTGAGAGACAGCCCAGAATAGCAAAGGGTAATGTATTGACACAGCAGCGACGCTGCCATACTCGATTAACTCCCTGCCTTGCTGTGCTTGAGAGGAGGCAGCCGGTGGGAGCAGATGGAGGTTTCCCGGGAAGAGAGGCTGGGCACACGGGTGGCTCCAAGCGGAAAGAAGAGGATTGCGGTGGGGGATACGGCTCTGTTTGCTGGGAGGCATCGCTGGGCTCTGCTCCATGCCCAGGAGCAGCATCCCTGTGGTGATGTACTGGGAGAGGAGCAGGAGCTGGTGGCTTCCCAACATCCCGCTCCTCCAGCCTTGAGCATCCCGGAAAACCTGCCCACACAAGGAAAACCACCTGGACATCATGGCACCGGAGCAAGCTGCACCCCAGTGTGGTGGAATAGCTGCAATTTATGGATCTCCCAGGTGTATCAGGACTGAGAGGCTGCTGCTCCATCTGCCTGCATCGCTCTGACACCGAGGAAGCATCTCCTTCCCTCAGTGTCCCAGCTCCTTCCCGTGCTGCAGTCTGCGATGGCGACCAACCCGCACCTAAAACTTTCCTCTTCCCAGTTCCCTTCAGTCCTAGGTCTTGCTGTGCATCATCCCGATGATAAACTCAGCAAGGGATGATTCATGGTACTACAGAGGTTTGCTCAGGAGAAGCGATGCCTGTCCTCTACAGTGCACCTCCAGTGGTGCTCAGGAGGGTTTGTGGTGCTGTCAGCATGGGCTGCCATTCCCGGTACTGCTGCTGCACTGCGAGAGTGGCTGGAAGTGGGACAGATCCCATAGCATGGAAAAAACACCCCTGTTATTTCTGGAAACCCAAAGCTTTCCTAACAACATGTATTACTTACAGCTCCACATTTTGGCTGTGCAGAGGCCATCCACGTCTGCCTCTGCCCTGGCTCCCAGTCCCACAGAGCCCACGGCAGCTACTGCTCCTCTCCTGTCCTCATGTCCCCCCCAAACAGCCCTGCTGTCACCTTCCCCCTCTGACCCACAGGGATGGGGGTGCATCCTCAGCATCCTTCCCACCTGCCCTGCCTGCAGACCAGGCTGCATCACTGATTAAGACACCTCATTAGCAGCTCTGGAGGATGAAGCTTTCACATCCAGGGCAAGGGCTGCATTCAGCCCCACTCCCAGCTCATCCCTGGACCACTGGGCATTAATCCTCGCTCAAGAGAGGAATTGGGGCTGCAAATCCCATTCATTCTCCTATGGATTAACAAGGGAAACAGGGGATCTCTGGATCTGGTGTCTCAAGGGCTGTGGAGGGCAGATGCAGCGTCACAGGGATGGGTGAGGGCAGAGCAGAGGTGAGATGGGTGCTGGAGAGCGTGCACCCCTTGCTACCCACCCAGTGCGGGGCATCCCCTGGGCACGGCGCCGGGGCTGAGCCAGGATTGATCCCTCTCTGCACCTTGCAGGAGTGGGCGGACGTGTGTTGCAGGGGGCTCCGGAGCGTCCATGCCTACATCCTGGTCTATGACATCTGTTGCTTTGACAGCTTCGAGTACATCAAAACCATCCGCCAGCAGATCCTGGAGACGAGGTAGGGATGGCTTCACCAGAGCATGCGTCCCCCATGGCCCCGGCAGGGCAGGATGGCTCGTCCCAGTGCTCCCCTGCTCTTGGCATCGGGGATGAGATATTACAGAGGGGGACAAAGCTCCTTTGTGGGGCTGGGAGCCCAAAGGCAAAACTGGACCTGAGGGCAGAAGGAGCTGGATGGGGCTTGGAGCAACCTGCTCTAGTGGAAGGTGTCCCTGCCCATGGCAGGGGGTTGGAACTGGATGAGCTTTAAGGTCCTTTCCAACCCAAACCAGTCTGGGATTCTATGGCCCCAGGCAGGTATTCCCTGTGGGTGAGGGCAGCCATCCCCGGGAAAGCAACTGGGGCTGGCACAGTGGGGGGCTGGCCACTAAGAGGGAGCCTTGGGTGGCATGGTTTAGTGTGAGGTGTCCCTGCCCATGGCCAGGGGTTGGAACTGGGTGATCTTAAGGTCCTTTCCAACCCGAACCATTCTGTAACTCTATGATTTTAAGAGGAGTCACATCCCTCTTGGCAAGCCAAAGCCAAAAGCTGGTTTGGGATGGGTTGGAGTCTGCGGGCCCATCATCACACTGTGCTCTGTCCCCTCCTGTGTTCCCTCACCACCCGCCCTCCCCAGGGTCATCGGCACATCGGAGACACCCATCATCATCGTGGGCAACAAGCGGGACCTGCAGCGGGGCCGGGTGATCCCGCGCTGGAACGTCTCCAACCTGGTGAAGAAGACGTGGAAGTGCGGCTACATCGAGGGGT